CTGCTGCTGTTGCTGTTGCTGCTGCTGCTGCACCTGCTGTTGGCTGCCCGAAGGCAGCAGGGGCTGCAGCAGGAGCAGACAGCGGCTGCTGCTGCATCCCAGGAGCAGGAGCAGCAGCAGCAGGAGCAGCAGCAACAGCAGCAGGAGCAGCAGCAGCAGCAGCAGCAGGGAAAGCTGGTGGTGCTGCTGCTGGGGGTGTCTCATATAAAGCATCAACAGCAAACTCAATCTTCTCTGCTGCTGCCTTCGCCTTAACAGTAAAATAAAATTCTCGCTGCAGCAAATATAACTTCTCGCTGCAGCACAAACAACAAACACATACACACACACCTCTGCTGCTGCTGCTGCTGCTGCTGGTAGTTTTGCTGCTTCGGCTGCTGCTGCTGATGTAGGTGTCCCACAAATTGCTGCTGCTTCTGCTCAAATTGCTGCTGCTGCTGCAGCAGCAGCAGCAGCAGCAGCAGAAGCAGCAGCAGCAGCAGGTGAGTATAGCACTGCTAGTACGTAGATAAGCAAAACGAAACCGCAAACTCCAAACCCTAAACCCTAAACCCCACGCTCTAAACCCTAAACCCTAAACCCTAAACCCTAATTTGTGTGCGGTTTGTTCTGGGAGGTCCGCTGTTTTGCTGCGGGTTTCCCTCAGCTGCCGCAAAGAAGACAGAAACAAATAAAATAATTAAATAAAGTAATTGATTAATATTTTAATTATAATTAATATTTATTTAATTTGTCTGTCTATCTTTATCGCGCGGTAGACAACCGATAGAGACGCATTACCCCTCAGTCTTCGTCTTCCTGCGCTGTATATACACCCCAAATCTTTTAGGGTTTTGTTTGTATAAATAATAATATCATTTATATTATTCTGTTAGTCTATTATACATAGGCGTAGGTATATATATATTATATATATTATATATCATATATATTACATATATATTGAGACAGATATATATATATATATATTAGATATATACTTCTAACACAATAATAATAAACAAAAAAAGAAACAACTATATTAAGATTGACAAATAGATATATATAAATATATATATATATACATATACATATATATAGACA